ATTCTTACCTCTCTCTATGAGGGCCTTTAGCTGTGGAATACCCGACAGCTTGTCATCTAAGACAACCCCCAGGAATTTATGTGTGTAAGCTCTGGGGATATGTGTGTTAAAGATTTGAATATTAGGATCCTCTGAGCAACTTTTGATGCGAGAAAATATCATATATCTCGATTTAGACGGTGACAGTTCGAGACCTCTGTATCTTAAATATGTATAAATGTTATCAATCGATTTTTGCACGGATGAGATAGCTGAGTCAATGTTTCTTAAGGTGGAATATATGACAACATCGTCAGCGTATTGCAAAATACGAGAATCTGAATGAATGTGATCGTTGATATCTTTAAGGTAGATATTGAAAAGCGCAGGACTGAGTGTGGAGCCCTGAGGTGTGCCCTTATAAGAATTAAACGGTCCTAAGAGAGAACCGTCTACCACGAAATGCAGACGTCTCATAGAGATGAAATTTTCAATGAATTTTCTAATAGAGGCGGGAATGCCAATTTCATACAAGTCCCTAATTAGAATGTGAGGTATAACATTGTCGAAAGCTCCCGCAATATCGAGAAATACTGCTACGGTAGGAGATCTCCTAATAAAGCCTGTTCTGATATTAGAGGTGAGAGTCACGAGGTTATCTATGCAAGACCTGGTTGGTCGGAAGCCTGACTGCGTTTGTGGAAGAAGAGGACGTGATTCAATAAACCATCTAAGTCTAAAGTATATCATGTATTCCATTAATTTGGCAAAACATGAGAGAAGAGAAATTGGGCGCACAGACTTCCCATCGGTTTTAGGAATAAGAACGACTAGGGAATCCTTCCAAGAGTCCGGTATAACTCCCTGTGCTAGTATTTGATTGTACAATTCAAGTAGTCTGGTAATATACTCATCGGGAAGACTGGAGATGATGGAATGATCTATTTGATCCAAGCCTGGGGCGGAACGTTTTTTAGCCACATTGATAGCCCTAGTAAGTTCGACTCTTGAGAAGGGTTCTTCCAACCATTGTTGTGTATTATGTTGAAGAAGATCTTCACGTTTCATATCCTCAATATGTTTGTGGTCGTTATATGGACAAAAGGGAGGACATAGTTTTTCGATGGCAGCCAGTGAGACCGTGTCAAGATTATTGTCCTGGTTCGAGGGAGGGTTTTTGTTACGCCTGAAACTTTTAATAAGAGACCAGATGCGGTGCGTTGAAGTTTTGCAATTAAAACTGCCAACAAGTTTCCTCCAACCAATTCGTTTAGCCTCCTGTATGCATTCTGAACACCTTCTCCTAGCAGACTTAAAATCATCGAGACGAGCTCTGTCAGGGCACTCGGCGAGCCTTTTGAGCGCCTTTCTCCTTTCTTTGACTGCAGTATCACAGTCATCGTTCCACCAAGGAGGTGATTTCAAACGACAGGAGTTTATCTTACTATGTGGCACGCCCTTGTCCGGTGGGAGTAATCCTCTGGCTGAGGATTGAACATGTTCGACGAATAGGTTGTATTGTGAAGTGGCGTCCAGGGTTTCTTTTCCTGAAATTATATTGATAGAATTCTTGAGCATAGAATTTAAAGTAGTCAGTTGATCCTTATTCAGCTTAAGCTTATAGCAAAATTTTTTAGAATAGCAAGGCGCAACGTTAATTTTTGTGCAGATAGGAAAGTGGTCACTACCATACGTATCGTCAAGAACATAACTGGAACAGATTGGAGCAAGAATAGGAGAAGACAAGGAAAGATCGATGACAGAGCTCTGTGCGGAATGATGTATTAAAGTGGGAGAACCATCATTTAAGATTACAAGATCGAATTCTTCTATAGCTTTCGACAGCCTGTTACCTGCACCAGAACGAGAGGGACAACCCCAATTAGGGTGATGAGCATTGAAATCTCCGGTCATGAGTAAAAGGTTAAATTCCTTGAGAGCATTTAAGAGGTCTTGGTAGAAAGTGAGTGGAGTGTCCTGACCGGGGTGCCTGTATATGTTCACCAAGATGATCGGCTCCCTGGCAGTAATTAATTTAATGACGTGATATTCTACAGACGGGTGTTCAATATTTTGGAGCTTAATGATCTCGAATTTGACATTGTCTTTGATGAATGTGCAGATGCCGCAATGCCCTGCAAGGACAATGTCATTTCTGACAGCGCGAAAGGATTTGATCTTTAGATTAGAATCTGGTTTGAGTAAAGATTCTTGAACGCAGATAATGTCATGATCTTTGGCCAACAATACCAATGAACCTTGGTTGCCTCTGGCGCCTCTACAATTCCATTGGATGATTCTTATGCCTGCAGAGGATGGTTGCCTGCGAGAGGATTGAGGTACAACTCTACTATGATTAGTTTGTTTGTGTATATTCGAGGTGGAAGAACTAGTACTTATTTGAAGAATTCCAGTTCCGAAAATTGTCTTGTAAGTAGTCAGAAGAAGGATGCGCAAAGTCCTGGCTTTGGGAGCCTGTTGGATTATATGAAATAGAGTATTCATTGTGATTATTGCGATGAGAGGGGGGGTTAATATCACCAGTGGGATATCTGTAGTTATTGGAAGATGTGTAATTCTGTATGAATGAAATGATAATATTCATCAGTGAGGAAAAATCGTGATTGCGAAAACAATTAACAATCTCTGAAATTAAATTAATGAGTTCCGGAATATATTTGGCAAATTCAAAAAGTTAGGTTCACCGTGACCACGCTGAGGAGGGGGGGGGCAGATTGATAAGCCGTACCTCTTGCGTTAGAATAGCCATAAGCCCCGTGGGGGTTGAAAAGTGCTTCTTGGTGAGCTCTTCTATCATAGCCCTGGTTGTTGACACTCTTTTGGTTAGTGTTCAAGTGGTATGGTGAACCTTGCGTCGAGTGATGATATCTGTTTCCGTTATGAGTGGGAGCCTGCTGCGAGGTGCGTGCCGGCCGTGAGCCAACAGCTTCGGCATAAGATATACGGCCATGGTCTAGGTCTTCTGCTTCTAAAAGGTGGAAGGGGTTAGTGGACGTAAAGCTGGGTGAACCTGAAGAGCCATGTGGCGTTTTTGAGTTTAGTCGTGGAAAGTCTTGAGAGTCCATTCCAGAGCTGTAGCGAGTAGAGGGACCTTGGTTGTTGACAATTCTCCTAGCATCCGCTATGGAGATATTTTCGACAGCTGCCAGTTTAATGATGTTATCCTGCTTGGTGATTATCGGGCAGTCTTTGGAGGTAGCGAGATGTGCGCCTTTGCAGTTGATACATACAGGGTCGGTTTCGCCATCCCTTGATGGGCAGGGGTCTTCGTTTTCATGGGCGTTGTTTCCACAATATAGACACCTAGGCGGGCCCTTGCAGACTTTAGCTATATGTCCGACTCTAAAGCACGAGAAGCATATGCGAGCTTTAGGTATATAGGGTCGTACCTCATGTCTGATTTTAAACAAGAACACTTCTCTTGGAAGAACCTGTCCAGCAAATTTAATGCGAAGTGTCTTGGAGGGTACATATTCGCTTTTACCATTTATTGTGACTCTTCTATTTAATCTTTGAATGTCCAAGATTTTGGCGGTTGGCGTTTCAATGTGTGTGTGAATGTATTCGAGTGCAAGTTCGACAGGTACATCCTGAATGACGCCTTCTCTGATGACTCTAAAGGCTGGTATGAAAGCTTTAAGGTTATGTTTAGAAAATGTTGGATTATCTACTAACCTATTAGCAGCGGTGGCAGATTTCGCCTCTATAAGGATTTTACCTTTACCGATTTTTTTGATCTCCTGTATATCTGGAATACCTGAGTTCGCGATGATACTTGAGATGACAATCGGATGTGTAGCCTTTTCACGATTCAGGTCGTAGACGTAGACCGCGTAGGGACCGTTGTCCTGGGGGCGATATTTAGGTGCAGCTTTAAGGTTAGCTGCAGCATTAGTAGTATCCTGAGAGCGCGCACCGATCGCGTCTTCTGCGTTATTTGGCCTTGGGGAGTCTCGAGGATTCAAAGTGGAAGTTGTCGAAGCGGTAGATCGCTTTGGGGGGGAGGTCGAGGAACGACCTTGTGCTTCTATCTCCTCAGAGGAATGGCGCTTCCTAGTATTTGTAATTTCGTCTATTTCCATGCTAGGATCGCTTGAAGTCATTACCTGAGAGCTATCTGATGATAGTGGGGGTGGCGATGATGATGATGACGTAATTTCTTTGTTAGGGTTGCATGTTGCTACCTCAGATAAGCCTGCTTCGTCAAATAGCGATTTAAGCATCGAGCTAGAAAGATCGCTGGAAACGTTAGAATTCATATTAATGGGTGAGGAATTGGTCTGGTTAGACGGATTAATCACCAATGTAGGAGGATGTAGGGAGAAGGAAACACTGCGATGTGAGTTTTGGTCACTGCTTCCCCCCGAGTCCGAGGCCATGCCTCTGCGCGGGAAACCGGAATGAGGTTATGCAATAAATTCCCCGGTACGTTACACGTATAATAGAACAGAGCAGAGCTCTCGTATTAAAGTACGAAACAAAGCAAAAATGCGCAAACTGAAGCCCTGATAAGGGCTGATTAACGTAAGATCGCGAAAAAAGCAAAATCAAAGAGCGATATTTAGCGCACACTCCACGTTACCAACTTTCAACGAATCCGTTTTCCTAACCTAATAAGCCTCAGCCACAGAACACATGTGTGTGTGACCACTGACCATGCACATTGCCAGCGCCACATTTGTCTCTAGCGCCGAAAAATCGAAAAGGACAAATCCCCCACCCCATAGCCTGGTCGACGACGACGACGACGACGATGACGGTTCTTAAATGAAAAGTTTC